TAACCTATACAAAAAGTCCCATAAATGGCCTCCTGGATTAAGGTTGCATGTAGCTGTTGAATAGCCTCCTTGTGAGTTTGGGACCTAGAATTACAGACTTGCTATGGGCATTGTGTGGGATAAGTTAAAATCAAAATCTCTTCTAAAAAGGTAGGAAGTTCAAATGAATACCATCAGAGGAATTGCTTGTATTAAAAGTATTTTCCTATACCCTTGTCTTCTCCTTTGATGTGTGTTATGAAAAGCATCTTTATTTATTTGCGATTGCAAATCCAGCATATAAAAAGCACAGCTCTATTTATCCCAAAGGGATTTCAGTCACTCATTTAATGAACACAACTTTATTCCATTCAGTGGATTTAGAAATACAGCTTCATTCACTCTGTTGGGTTTTCACTCACACAGGGGAGACAGAGGTTTATTCCTTCAAATGACATGTCATTTGTCTTACAATTTTATCCCTTAAAATATCACTGTTGGCAATAGCCTGCCTTGGTGTGCACTGACCCTTTGCACGTTCTGAACTCTTCATATTGGTATGACTCAAAGTTAATGGACTATTGATGGCAACTGAATAACGGAAAGAGATGTAGAGTCCTCAAGGCAGAGTCCTCTGAAAAGAGTGGTTGGTTGGCACAACTGCATGGAATGGAATAATTACAGAAAACACTGGCAACTCTTAGCAGATCAAACAGAATCTGTAGGGAAAAGAAAGAGGCTAATGCTTCAGGTCTTACATCCCTTTGTCAGAGCTGGAAGATATAAAAAACAACTTCGAAGGAGGAATGAGTGGCCAGGAAGGAGAAAAAATTGGGGAGAAGAAGAAAAGAAAAAAGAATTATTTCTAAAGTGATTAGAGGGAGAATATGAAAAACTGAAGTGATAGAAATGAAAATGGTAGAAGACAAAAGGAGACATGATAAGAGAAATGATAGAAATAAAGGACATCCATAGTATATATGAATATGTCAAGCAGTTTTTCTTTTATACAATTCCTGCAGTGCAGAAATAGGCCCTTTGGCCCAGCAAGTCCACACTACCCTCTGAGCATCCCACCCCCCTATAACCCACCTAGTCTACACATCCCTGAACACTATAGACAATTTAGCATGGCCAACCCACCTAGCCTGCACATCTTTGGACAGTGGGTGGAAACTGGAGCACCTGGAGGAAACCCACACAGACACGGGGAGAATGTGCAAACTCCACACAGACAGTTGCCCGAGAGTGGAATTGAACCTGGCTCTCTGGCTCTGTGCAGCAGCAGTGCTAACCACTGAGCTGCCATGCTGCCCCATGAAATAAAATGCAAACTAAAATGTGGTGAAATAAAAGAGTAAGTAGAGGTCAGCACACTGTAGATCAAGCCTCTGTCCAAACACTGATAGGGAATCCTAACCCTTAATAAGCTACGGCCACTTATTTTTCTGGAAGGCCTCCGTTAACAATATTCTGTTCACCTTATCCACATTAACAATGCCCAACGTCAGCTAGTAAAGAAAAGCCGCAATTATAGTCCTCAATGATTAGGACAGAGTCCTGTAATGTGCCTACGGAAAAGGTTAGCTGTTCAAATCTGATGGTAAGGTACTGACGAACATCTTATGTAGGAGCTAGAGTAGGCTATTGGTTCTTGAGTCTGCTCCACTGTTCAGTAAGGTCATGGCTCATCTGGTTGTCATCTCAACTCCACTTTTGAGTCTGTTTCCTCCCCAGACCCCAACCCCCAACCCATAACCCTGAAGCCTTCATCTATTAAAAAGCTTCCTAAATCTGCCTTGAATAAATTCAATGATCAATGCTTCCTGGGAAGAGAAGTCCACAGATGAATGAACCACAGAGAAAAAAAAAATCTTCATCTCAGTCCTAAAGGGCCTAAAATGAAAATTCTGAAACTTTGCTGCTTAGTTTGAGTCACCTCAAGAGGAAACATACCCCATGTATCCACCCTATCCATAAGATCCTCTTTCATTCTTCTAAACTGTAATGGTTCTGGGGCCAGCTTATTCAACTTTATTCAGAAGATAATGAGCTCTTTCCAGGTATGAGCTGAATGAGCCTTCTCTGAACTGTTTCTAAAGCAATTAATTACTTCTTTCAAGTAGGAGACAAAAACTGTTCACAGTATTCAAGATGTCGTCTCATCAATGCCCTGTATGTTCTAGTATACCTTCCCTTATATTGCAAGCCTCTTGAATACACAACTACATTCCATTTGCCTTCCTAATCATTTGCTGTATCAGCATACCAACTTCATGTGATTTACACAGCAGAACACCCAGATCCCTATATATCATCAAGTTATGCAATCTCTTTCTACTTAAACAGGATACTGCTTTTCCATTCTTCCTGTCAAAGTGGACAAGTTCACATTCATCCCAACCTTATACTCCATCTACCAAATTTTTTCCCGCTTACTTAACCTGTCTACATCCCTTTTCAGACTCAAGTTACTTTTGACAACTTACTTTCCTACCTATCTTGGTGGCCATCGGTAAATTTAGCTAGCATATGTTTGGTCTTCTCATCCAAATCATTAATGTAGGTTGTAAATAATTGAACCAAATACTAATCACTATGGCACTTCACATTTTGCAACTTGACAAACCTACAAAGACTCATTTATCCCTACTCTATGTTTCCACTTAAAAATCCATTATCTACGTTAATGTTTCCACATAAACCATGTACTCTCATCCTGTGTCAGAACCCTGGATGTGGCACCTTATCAGGTGCTTTTGGAAGCCGAAATATATACATTGCTAGTTTCCCCTTTATTCACCTTGCAAGTTTGTACCTGCCCAAGACCAAAAGAAATGTAGACTTTACTTAAACAGAAAGCTTCAGTAAAACGCTAAGTGCAGACAAGGCTAGATCTTTCGAGGGAGATTGACTCTCAAGGCTTATTCACTCATCAAACTCCCAGCTTCTCACTCAGTCCAAGCCTAAGGAGTGTGACTGCCTTCCAAAACAAAGTGTCCAAGTAACTTTCCCCTACACTTATGCATCGCAATGTTCATAGCTCAGCCTCTGGCTCATTAACTCTGAGCTGAAATTGTTCAAACTGCAAACGCTTACTGTCCACATGGTTGACATGATCACACTGGTATCTGTCAGCTTCCACGTGTCACTTTCTCTGACATCTTTATTGTGCATAATTTGACTAATAACATTTAGAACTATCACAATTGTTATCTGTTGTTGTATAAAGTTGAAGTTTTATAAATTTAAGGTTTAACTGGGAAGATACACATTCAAGCCAATACTTATATCTCCCCCATACCAGTTTAAATCACTTAAAAGAGGTTCACAACATTTTCCACTCCTGATCAAGGCTCATACAGCTGAAAGTGAACATCTGTAGAGAAAAAAGAATGAATATGATAAAGTTCACATCATCATTTCTTTCTTTCTGTACAGATGACAGCTGACTTGCGGTTATTTCTTATTCTTCCAAATTCCAGCATTATTTTTGCAATCCAGCATTATTTTGTGACTGCCCCCAACTTGGAAGTTATCACTAAATATTTCATTCACTTAATTCTCGTCTTATTTCAAGAACATTTACCGAGGAGGCTTCTAAAAAGATTGAAGTTATCATACCATTGGTTATGTAAACGAATGACAATATTTATACTTATGTATTTAATTCATTGCATAAGGCCGGATAGCAGGGGGGAGGAAGCATTATCGGAGCTGGTGGTTCTCCCGTCGGAGGGATTTGAGGGTTGGGCAGGAAAACGGGTTTTATCTCGGTGCGGTGCGTTTGGATTATTGATCGGAGAGTTTTTGTAGGGGGCGGGTTTTTATTATTTTATGATCGATGCCCGGGGTCTGAGGTATTGATCGTGAATTGAGAATTGATCCATAAGCTGTAAATGAATGTGTTCATCGATGTTAACGATGACGGAC